TATATATATATATATATGAATATTACATATATTTATATAAGGGTTTAGGGTTTGGAGGTTTAGGGGTTTAGAGTTTCGGGCCTTTAACGCATAATGGTTCTATAAGTTTCATGCTACATTGCTACGATGTCCTGGTCATAAGTCATAAGCCTTTTAGAAGCGCAGGGGCCTTGTTGCAGCTGTGGGAGCCGCCACCGGTGCCGCGCAATCGCGGCAGTCTGCGATGTAGTAGAGGGTGTAGAGGAGGTCGTGGGTTTAGGGTTTAGGGGCTTGAAGCCTTTCTGAAGCCTCTTTGTCTTGCTGGGCACCTTGGTTCTTCAATCCCCCTAGAGGATCAGGCCGTTTCCGGTCCTAAACCTTCGAGACTCGCTTCACGCAGTCGGCAGTATGCCTGTCAGACCCTTGGTGATGAGCATCCTTCCTTAGGCCATGTGTTTGTGTTGTAGCGTTTTGAGAAATGCCCATAACCCTGTGAGCCTAAGCCGCAATAATTATGATAATGCCTAAACCCTAAACCCTAAACCCTAACAGCTCAACCTGCGACATGAAACAGGGCTAACTAACCACGAGACAGGCCGCTCAGGATGCCAAGACGGATCGTACACAACTTGCTGTCGTGATAAAGCCGAAGCAGGGTTAGGGTTTAGGGTTTAGGGTTTAGGGTTAAGGGTTAAGGGTTTAGGGTTTAGGGGTTAGGGTTTAGGGTTTAGTATATAGTATAGACCTTGGGTACTGCCCCGACTCAGTAAGAGTTGCATAATATTTGTACTATGGATATAAAAGGCCCTTAGTTGTAGCCTTATTAAAGACTGTTACTGTATGGGGGGCAGTATCCAGTATAGACCCTACGTAGGTTCAAAGCCCGGATTGAGTGTCCCCAGCTTTGAGCTACAGGAGTAGGTCCTGAACCCTAAACCCTAAACCCTAAACCCTAAACCGTGTAGGTTATGCGCGGTTTGATTTTCCTGAGGTAGACGCCTGTTATTTCCTTATATTTCTCCCAATGCCCAAGGGTTCCCATGTCAGTACCCTAAAATCTACCTCGAAACCATACTCTGATCATAGAGGCCCCTATATTCGGGGAAGGATTTCCGGTCTACGGAAACCGAAGCTTAAGACCCTCATCCCGATGGAACCCTGGGTGTTAGGGGTTTTGAGTTTAGGGTTTCCGTTTGTTTTTGGTGGTTTAGGAGGTTTAGGGTTTACGGTTTTTTGGGGTTGGGTTTTCGGCCTGCCCAGAGTGACGCCAGACCCAGAAAGGAACCAACAAAAATCCTTATAGCACCCCTGTAGATCCCTGGAAAGGACATTATAGAAACCCTGTGAGGAGGTTTAGGGTAAAGGCCCTCAAAGCTAAACCCCTAAGCCCTAAACCCTGAACACCTGAACCCTGAACCCGAAACTCCTAAAAAAACCTTATGCCTTAAGCCCTTAACCTCTCCCTGTGCGAGGAAGTTCTTTGGTGTCCTCTCCGAGGGTGAGCGAAGGCGCGGGCTCTCGATCAGAACATGTTGCGTACTGGGCCCTAGAGATAGGGTGAGCTTGCTACTGAGGCTCATTTAGTGGTCGAAATAAATACCAAATACTACTCCTGAGGGTTCCGTAGCATAATTATACTCTAACGTCTGTTCCAAATCGTTACGGCCCTACATTATGATACACCCTCAACCCTAAACACGTACTATATTTACCCAAAAGTTGGAACCCAATCGCCTCAGTCCGTAATGCTACTGTATTGGCAATCCGAGCACTATTAGGCCTGAATTTGGTTTCCAAGTTGTTGGAGGTTACTCAGCTAGCATAGACCATTTCCATTTTCAACTCACGCACCACCCCCTAGCACCCAAACCAT